ACATCGCTCGGAGCAGAATCGCATTTATTTCTTTATGTCAAAAGATGACGATGTTTCCAGTGTTGAGCCAAATGCGACGTGACAAGGTCCCTCCGGGCGTCAGGCGCTGGCCCCCCCTCTCGGGCTGGGCTGTCCCCAGTGCGTTATCTGCCTGCCCTTTCCCAAGAGAGCAGAGATAAGGGCTAAATCATGACATCTTCCCCCTCCCCTCAAAGTCCGTCATCGTTCGTTAGGAATTTCATCTCTTCGTGCTAGAAGAGCAGACCCCAAATAGCCAGGCTTATTGCTTGTCAAAGTTGTTAAAGCGGTTTTAGCTGAAATGCGGGAATGGGATTAACTTCGGTTTGATAGCAAAGCCTTTGTTTATGAGGTGAATCCTAGTTTTTTAACCACGTGGGGAAAACGCCCGTGCCGAGGAGCTCTCAGGGGGCTCCCAGGGCCCCGTTGCAGCGGGTCCCGCCGTACCCCTGGCCGTGCAGCGCAGCAAGCGACCGGCTCCTCCGCACCCCCCCTTATCCCACAGCCTTGTTACAAGCGGATGAACCTTCCTCTCTTTCTCCATTCGAATGCAAATGACCCCAGCACCTGCAGGTTGTTACTGTCAAGTACCCCACCACCCCCCAGTTCACAGCTTGGGCGAGGGAGGGCGGACTCTGGAGATGGGCTAGCCCGAGCCCTCGCACAGGTTTCAGAGGTGTTTCACAGGCTCAGTCGGCTCTGAGGTTCTCCTTTAATTTAAACGCTAATGATTCCATACAGGAGCTCCCTCCAAAGCATTTTTTCAAGTTTGTAACAAGGCATCCGTGAGTGTTGGTTAACGGTCTCCCCATAAGCAGGACTTGCTTTGAAAACTTTGCTGCAAGTGCGTTATGAGTGCAGAACTATCGTTTGTGTCACCGTCGTTGGACGGTTTAAAATTGAAACCGTGAGAGATACCGGTGAAGTTCTAAGTTGCTCTCAATTCTCTTTCCAGGTCATCCTCGCTTTTTCAATCAGCTGTCCACAGGGCTGGACATTATTGGCTTGGCTGGGGAGTGGCTGACATCAACTGCTAATACGAACATGTAAGCCGTGTGTGTCTTGTCGTCAGTGTCTGTGACTGGTGCTTACAGGAGCTGGCATCTATCATGGTAGACACGTAGTGTCACAGACGTGTATAATTTTCTCCTTTAAATGATGATTGCTGCGTCTTCAATAAAAGCATCTGGTATTTTTCTCAATGTGGCAGTAATATAGTGAAAATAGTTATATAAAGCTGAGCAGGTTTACATTTCTGATAAACAGAAATGCAAATATCCCAGAGCACATGGTAAGTAAACCATGATGATTCTAATAAAATAACATTAAATTATTTTTCTTCTCTTGGACCAATCTTCATCTTTTCCCAATGTTTTTTTTTTTAAAGCTTTGTCTCTAGACGGAGTAATTATGCAGCTATCCATATATTAACACTAGAGTACAAAATATGTAAAAGTTCATTGTCTTTTTTCCTGTTGACTTCAGAGGTAGCAGGCTTGGGGCGCCACCTTCTCCTGTTCATGTGCTGGTAAAGAAATGATTCTGCATGGCTTCAAAATGATTAAAAATGTAACAATGAAAATTAATTTGATCGTAATGGAGGAATTACTCAGTCTAAGATTTATTAAAGTTGTATGTAAATAAATAAATGGAAGTATAAAAAAGTAAAATTTTGCATCTAGAATCTATCAATGAGGAAACTTTTCCTAATTTTTCTTTACCTCAAAATTAATGAAAGCTAGATGTAAACGTAAGGTGTGATGTTGAATTTTTGCAACAAAGAGTGCAATTAATGGAAAAAAAACCCCACTGACCCAAAAACCTTCTAGCCAGTTTTTGTTTATATATTGACTTGTATATGCTGAAAAATGTGATGGGAGTCCAAATACTTGGCAGGTAACAGACTGCTCTGTTTTAGTCCTGTATTGGATGTGTTTTAATGCTAAAGCTACCTCTGTTTTGGGTAGTTTGTTGCTAACTGGCAGAGCACTGGAAATGTGTCTGCAGATTGGAAAATGAACAATATTTTCACTGGCCTATCCATGAGTATATGGTTCATTAAGTATAGCTGATTACTAGCAGCTCTATGTAGATTACGAGCTGTGCCTGTTCTGTGACGTTAGCAATAAAGAAAAATACATAAGGTGCTGCAGCCAAAACCAGCCTGCTCTTCGTAATAATCGTCTTCTCAAGTAGTTCTCTGTGTGCCAAAAACTGGTATTAGACATTTAGATTTAAAAGCTGATTGGGAAGAAAACTCAGCAACATATATTTTAATTGTAAAATAAGTTCCTCTGTGACAAAAACATAGTTCAGAGAGTGTCACTTTTTGCAAACCCCTTTTCCTTTGACTAACTTAGTTATCCTAGTTTAGTTATCCTTTTGTAATCATTGAAATTGCATGCATCTGATAGGATAGAATTCAGCCCTGTGGCAGACTGATAGTATTATGAAAAATTGCCATCGTTATTAAAAATATTGCACTCGCTTCTGAAAGAGTAGCTTTTTTTTTTTAAAATAAGGTTGCTTTTTCCTTTGGTTTTAAAAGTAAACTGTTAATTAGTTCTGTAAAGCTAGTTTCTGATCCATTTATACTTTAAACAAGAATATATCTTGAAAATAATTATCTATTTGCTTGTATGAGGTTCAGCAAATGCAAAATAATAGATTGCTCTTTTTTTTTTTCAGCAAACCAAGGTCAACGTGATATGCTTTCAAATAACACAGTAATTACAAGTAAGGTTAAAGCAAGATGTTTGTAAAATATGATTCAGAGAACTGACAGAGAAGGTTATTAAAAATAGCCAAATCGTCTCTGTGAGCTCTGGAGAACATATTATTTGTTTTGAGCAGTGTTCCAGCACAGAAGAGCAGGTTCTGACCTTTACCTAGAAACTGTTCTAACCTATTTCAGCTACACAAGCAGGTAACACACAAGTGACAGTAAGACTGGACTATGGTAGGGAATCATTTCCATTTGCCTTTTTTTCTTTTCTACATATGAACAATACTTCAAATATTTGTGAGCAATTAAAAAATGTGTTTTCTTTCGCAAATGAGTTTTGAGTAATCCAAACATCTGTACTGTCTTAAAATTTTAAATTGTCATTAGGAAATGTTGCTTAAATGTCACTGTGAAGATAATAAATTAAACATAACAAGGTTCCCAAATTGACTTGGAAATAATATATCAATGTGCTATTCATAGCTCAGTCACTAATCCTAAGACCTTCAGGGTGGAAATTTCAGAAGTTACCGTTATTCATCCAGCTCTAGGGATCTGTAGTACAGGGCATTTGCTCGCCATGCAGCAGCCAGCTGGGGTTAGAAAGCAATAACATTATCTGGAAGTTCTCTTTGTGCCCACTGTTAGCTGAGACAAGAGAATTGTATTGGATATTTTAAGTATTATGCATATCTGCATATGAAATTGTAACATAGCAAAATTATGTAAAATGCTTTACGTTTATTCTCAGAATAATTTTTTCATACTGGCAAACAGGAGAACAGGTAGCTAGAATGATTTGGCCTGATAAAATGATTTGGCCTTTAGGTGAGTGCAGAATTAAGCCAGCACTGACCACTACTAAAATACCCATTCATTTGTTCTGTATAGTAAAGAGCTGAGACTCATGACTGTTTTAGTTAATTCACAGAAATACCTGTAAAGGTTGTAACTGTTTGAAAAATTGAATCAGCATTTTTTGTTAGGAGATTGGTTCTAAAGCTGGAGAGTCCTGTCCAAGCCAAACACTTTTTCTGTGTTTAACTGAATTTTTCAAAATCATGTAAGTTTAAAACAAATAAGTTGGAGTGAACTTTAGCAAGATGTGATTTTGAAAATCATAGCTGTCATCTAATATAGCTGCATTGGCCTTATCATTTATAATCATCTGCAGTCTTCTATTTCTTTGTCAGTCTTTGGAGACTCAGAAAATAATTACATAATAAAATAAATAAATGCTGTTTTGCTTGGATTTAAGTATATTCAAAATTCCCCTTGCAAAGACTTGGTATTTTATATACAAAAAACTTGCTTAACATTATATATATTTTTATACAAGCCTTTAAGTCTTATGGGAAGTATGTAGGGATCAGTGTGCAAGGTCTCGGGACAAAAATCAAAATGTATTTAAACTGGTGGAAAAAAAAAAATCACATTGACTTAAACATATCTTGTGTTAGGCTACAGGGATCTATATGCCACTGAGTTCCTGTTGACTCCTGTTGGTCATCCTGCCTAAATAAAGATTGCAATATAACCTAGACTTGCAGTACTTAAAAACAAAACAAAACAAAAAAATCCCCACTCTTAGCAGACATGGATTGGTTTATTAATTTTGTCTGTCTGTAAATATTGGCAGCACCCAAACTTCAGATCAGTGTTCAACTGTCTGTTTCTGACAGTTCTAATGATAGTAAGAGCAAGATAAGCAGTAGTTTGGCTTCTGAAAATAGCAATTACGACAATTAAACAAATTACAAATACTGTTTAGTCTTAAACAAATGTTTTAAAAATAGTGGTGGTGTTTCTCTGATGGACTAAGGACACATAAGGATTGAAAGAAAAATTAATATTTTAACTAAGCAGGGTAGCTGTAAAAAGACAAGCTTTTCAGACACACATTCCCTTCTTCGTATCACATGTCTCCTTAAAGTTTGCCATACCTATTCTCAAAATGTCATTTTAGTATTAGAGAGACAACATGTATGTTTTGGCAAAATTATTCAAGTGGGAGATGTCAGTCAGATCCAAAGTGTCAGAGGCTCATACTCTTATAGATTCCTTTGGAAATCACAGGTTGATTGTTTAGTTTCTCTTTGCTTCCTTTTTCCTCTCTCCTTTTTTACTTTTTTTTTTTTGTGTATGTGTCTGTGTGTACGCAGCAAGCAGAGTTTGTTTACAGCAGTAGCAATTTATCACCAACCTTGATAACCAAAAATGGTTGCATGGCTGTCACTTTCCATCCACGTATCTGTCTGTAACATCAGGGTATACCAGACTATGCAATGTTTTTTGCCCTCATTAAGTGGGTACTATGGTTGACTGCTGACTTGTTTTTAGCAATTGGAAATTAGAAAATCATCATTTATAATTACTCTTGACAGTTATTGATCGCACGGTATTGTAGAAACAAGTTGTCCTTGAAGATCATCAACAGAATAAATCCACATAATTAATTGTATTTAGACTTTGAAGCCCTAGCTCAATACTTCTAATTATGGTTGTGTTTAGCTCAGTGACATTCACTGTATTCACAAGGATTTGGCTGTATGTTATTCCATAAGTGTGGAATTGGACTTTGGGAAACAAATGTCTTACAATACAATCTTGTACAGCAGTCAGCACTGCTATGATGGTGAGTGTTAGGTTGCAAAAGAGCTAATACTGCAGTTTTTATTGACCAATATTTCCAGTATTGTCTTCCTGAGTTTTTTTGCTTGGGTAAAGGTTGCAATATCAGAACCTCAATTTATAGGAAAACTTTTAGGAATCTTAAGCATTTTCACAAAGAATCATAGAATGGGAATGTATTGTGTGTTTTTAGAATCTGTATACGATTTTCCTTGTTTGTTTGTTTGTTTGTTTTACTTTATCCATGCAGGTTTACCTATGAAATTGCCCCTGTTTTTGTCCTCATGGAACAAATAACACTTCGAAAGATGAGAGAGATTATTGGATGGTCAAATAAAGATGGTGATGGAATATTCTCACCTGGTGAGTTTTTTCTCTCTGTTTTGGTGGTTTGACTAAAACTTCAAAAGTTAAAATAAACATAAGCTGTGTCTGAATGCCCACAATATCTGCAACACAAAACAGTGAGTCAGATATTTAGAAGCAGGTGAGTCAGCTATTTAGAAGCAGGGATGCTTTGTTTAAACATCCCACAAAAAAGTTTTGGGAAAAAGTTATCTTTGAGTATGGCTAGTCAACATCTTTAAACTTGACTACAAGCTCTGGTATACAGTTAGGCATTTAAACATCCTTTTTTTTGTGTTTCATTTCTGGAGGTGCTGAGCAACCACAACTCCTGCTGACCAATAGCTCTTGAGAATTGTGTACTGACCTCTTTGATGGTCAGTGAGGATTTGGGCTCGCAGTCAGAAAAAGACTGTGATTGCCTGTCGCTTCCTCGGACATAATCTGACTGGATTCGAAAGTATGATTCCAGTATGAACACCAAGACAAAGTGTCTTCCTATGAAGGTGATATAAAGGCAGTCAGCAGTGATAGAGAAGACTGGTAAACCATGTGGAGGTCCTGGGCCCCTATGTGGACAGCGTGGATGCCCAGCACAACTCCAGATTTCTGGGTTTGACGTGTGGAGATATGCAGTCCTGTTTTAGAGGATGAAGGACAATTCCACCTCCTTTGGAACAGCCCCCTTAAAATCCAGGAATGCGTACTTGCTTTGTCTCCAGTCCCATCTGCTAGAAAAATACAGATCTTTGAGTGTTCTTGATGAAGAAATATTAGAGGAAGAAGTTTTTCTAGACTTTATGGATGAGATTCATCTTGCTAAATCTTGAGGTCTGTGTCATAGAATCATAGAATCATAGAATCATTATGGTTGGAAGAGACCTCAAAGATCATCAAGTCCAACCGTACACCTGATGCCACCCTGTCCACTAAACCATGTCTTGAAGCGCCACATCTAAACGTTTTTTGAACATCTCCAGGGACGATGACTCCACCACCTCCCTAGGGAGCCTGTTCCAATGCCTAACGACTCTAACAGTGAAGAAGTTCTTTCTAATGTCCAGCCTGAACCTCCCCTGGCGCAACTTGAGACCATTTCCTCTCGTCCTATCGCTAATTACCGGGGAGAAGAGCCCAATCCCCACCTCACTACAACCTCCTTTCAGGTAGTTGTAGAGGGCGATCAGGTCTCCCCTCAGCCTCCTCTTCTCCAGACTAAACAACCCCAGCTCCCTCAGCCGCTCCTCATAAGGCTTTTTCTCCAGGCCCTTCACCAGCTTTGTTGCCCTTAAAGTCATAGAACTGAGCTAATTGTCCTGGGCTCTTTTTAGCAGTAAAGCAAGAGAAATAGATGCTTTCCCTCAAGTCACGTTCTTCAAAAGTAAATGTCAGAATAGATTAGCTGAATCATAGCCTGCAAAGTGCCTCTTTCC